TTTTTTTTTTTTTTTCAGTGCTAGAGAATGAACCCAGGCCTTGACCACGTTAGAAAAGTACTCCACTGCTGAGCTAACCCCCAGCCCTAAAATCCTAATTTTTATAGGGCAGCTGCAAGCTAATTCACCAACTTTTGCCCTAAAGAAAAATATTACCTTTATTACCCAAGAAGAAAGAAAAACATGCCTTCTGCTCTGCAGATAGAGTTGTCAGAGTCTTGACCATCAGGCTACATGGATGTGGGACTCATTGAAGCTGTCCTCTTGATATTTTTTTGGGGCGGGTTGGTACAAGGAATTGATCCCAGAACTCTGCCTATATAAAGGAAGTACTCTATCACTAAGCTACATTCCAGTCCATTTCAAAAATTTTCAAGGCAAGAATTTACTAAATTGCCCAGGGTAGCCTTGAACCTGTCATCTACTTGTCTCAGCCTCCCAAGTAGCTGGGATTATAGACACACGCCACTGTGACTCACTTAAATTGTTTACTTCTTTAACATAAAACCACAACACTCTTCATATGAATAGGAAGGCAGCCTCTCAGTCCATGAAAATGTATATATATATAGATATAAAGGACCAAATGATTGGAGTTGAGACTTCTGACCGCAGAAACTAGAGAAACAGACTTAAAAGATAGTGTGTTAGTGCTATAAAATACAGAGGAAGAACAAACAAGGACACCACTTTGAAAAGAATGGAAGGGATGGAGATTGGATAAAAAAAAACCCTGAAGAATCTTTTATAATGTATGAATGTGTGTAAGTGATAACTACTTTGATCATCAATACCTATCACAAATATCATTAAAAAGCCGTGCTGTTTCACATCATATGTAACAGATAACAAATTAGGTCAAGGGTTGAGGGGAACACTCTCTCTTTGCATGAACTTAGTGTCTGTCTTTAGTGACAGCGGCTATAAGCCAAAAGGATGTGCATAGAAAGAAGTGTTTTGTTTACCCTGTGCTTAGGGCTCACTAACCAGGATACAGAGCCAACTTGGCCATGTTGGTAATTAATTCTCCATAGATGGTTTCTTGTTTAAACCCAAGGGAGAACTGGCTCAACAAGAGAACATTCTCTGACTCCTGCTAGGCACTTGTTTTAAAAATACTTACTCCACACCCAATTGTTTCTCTCTTCTTCTACATAAAAGGTCTTTGTTACAATGTTCTCCTTCAAAAAACCCAGACAATTCAGCTATTCCTAATGTCACTGTTTGGCAACTTTTTTGGGGGGGCCTCAAACTCAGCAATTACTGCAAAAGAAATACCAAACGCCATCACCACTAAGGGGAAACACAGCTGTTTCAGGAGGCAGGTGACCTCTAGATTTCTGATTTACAAAGATGATTTGTGCCATGGAGAAAGGAGGGAGGAGCATGACTCACCTTGGTAAAAGCTTTAATAGCATGGGCAAGGCAAGCTTCCTCCACTTCCACAGGTATTGCCTGCAGGTTCACTATGCAATGCAACACACAAAGGATAGTCTGCTGCTGTCCCTGTTTTTGTAGAAACCAAAATCAAAAAGTTGTCTCAAAACTACCTCAACAAATAGACTCAAATATAGAGTAAACAATTACTTAATCTCTAATGATAAAATATCTACCAAGAACTCTACCAAATGTTTCCTTTGGTAATATAATCTGAAAACCTTTTAGGACATTGTATCAAAGCTTAGTGCATAAATGATGCTTGAATCTGAAGGCCAGTGTAGATTTAAACTAAATGTTTCTCCTGCAGTACATGTAATAGATTTTTCCCTTTCCGCTCTTCAGTTTGATCAGTAGGTGCTGATGCTTCATGGTGATCTGTGCACTACTCAGTTAGGCATTTGGCCTTTAGTACCTATGTGCCCAGACTGTAGCAGATGCTATGGGGGGAGGTGGGCAGAGAAAGACACAGGCCAACTCCCCAGTAATAATGTAGTGTTTCAGAAGGCAGCTCCTGACCTGACCAGGGAAGATCGCACCAGGAGGGGCTTATTGATTTGACTGCTGGGAACTGTCCAGCCCAGTAAAGGGCAGACTCTGTCACTTTGTGCAATATATACCCACGACACATAGCCAAGCCATACCCCACTAGGACTCATTAATTTTACTTCTAGAAATCTATTCTAAGAGTATAATCTGAGATACAGAATACTGTACAAGCATAAATGATCACTACAATGATAGCTGTAAAAGAAAAAAACCTGATAACACACATGCCCTCTACATAGGGGTTGAAGTGATTTATGACCAACAGAAAGCATGATGTGACAGAGTGTGTAACCTGTGCCAGAGATCTGAGTTTGAATTACTTGGACAAACGCTCAAATTTTGGGCAAACTGCTTCACCTTGCCTTGTCTATAAGGGGTCATCTATCTCCAAGCACTAGCAAGATGAACAGAAGTGAAAATGGAAATTGTTCCCTAAGAGCTCAACCCACAGCTGATGAACAAGGATTAACCTCTTTCCTTGGCACCTTCTATTTTATGTCTGTAATTTAAATGCTGAGAAAATATTATAAGAATAAAAGCCAGATACAGGAAAAATATTACCTTAAGGGTACGCACTGCACAACTGTGTCTGTGTGTGCATGTTTCTGTGTGTGTGCATGTGTGTGATGGCATGTGCCTGCAGGTCTACCTGGGTGCACACTGTGTAGTATATGTGTTGTAATATTTTCAGTGAAGTTAGGAAATGAGATGTTTATATTGTAGCACAATAGGCAAACCAACATTGTTTCCTAAGACAAAAGCAAAGCCAATTTTTAGTTGAAAATTTAGTACTAAAGGATTCACGATAAAAAGTAAAGTCCTTCGCTTCCTAGATCCACTGTCCTACAGTATCCTCTCCTCAAACCAAGTACCATAACCAGTTTATTTTTTTCTCTATTCTTCTGTATTTTATACATACATATATTATTAGGTATATAAACCCCACTTCAAAAGCACACAGGAATTTATGTTCCAACTACTTCATGGTTTTCATGTGTACCTGCTTGTAGTACCTAAGTAAAACAGGGCTGCGATGTAGTTCATAGACTTAACTAGCATGCAAAGGGCCCTGGGTTTGATTCCCAGCATGCCCCTTCCTCCATTACATTCCATGTTTCTGAGAAGTTTAAACTATTTGAGGAAGAACAGCATACTATTAAGCAAAAATTACATGTTAGGATGATTTTTTTACTACGTTAATATGTACTGATAATATTAAAAGATTTTAAAATGTTCTCCTAGGATTGTACATATTTTTCTCTTTTTGTATTTCCTAAATGTTTATGCTATGTATCCATTTCTTCCACATCATTCTTTTTTGTTTGTCTTTTCTTTTGGTGACACTAAGGGATCCACCCCAACACACTAGGCAAGTGCTCTACCACTGACCTCTGTCCGTAAGCCCTTCAATTTCTCCTCCCTCTCTCCCTCTCCCTCTCTGCTGTACTGGGGATTGAACTCAGAGCCTTCACACTGAGGAATATCTTCTACCCTTTATTTTGAGATAGGATCTTACTAGGTTGCTAAGCTACCTGGGTTGGGCTTGAACTTGTGATCCTCCTGCCTCACTCAGTCTCCTAGAGTGCTGGGATTACAGACCTGTGCCACCATACCCAGCTTTAATTTCTTCTCTTATCTTGAAAAAACTATTAAGTTAGGCTTAGATATAAGATTCTGCATGGATTCTCTGTTGTAATAGATATTTTTTAGTGTGTGACACTTATATGGAGGGCCTTAAATACATTATCTGGTCCAACAGCTACTTTACCTTCTCTAATAAGAACAGGGCTTCGGCAGCATCAGCCTGTCTGTCAATCAACATATCCACATCCTCTTTGGTGATTACAGGTTCTTTCAGTTGCTCGACCCAAGACCACATCAAACCACACAAGATGAAAGGGTCTCTCTCACCGCATATTCTTTCCCAAGCTCCATCTTGGGAATTTAGTTCTTTCTAAAAAGGAAGAGCAAGAGAGACAAGCTGAAGCAAGGAAAAGAGAGAGAGGCATTCGCTGGTCCACAGGCCGCCCATGAGAGTGGAGGTTCAGGTTCTACGGTGCCATCTGGGAATGCTCCAGCCCTTGTACTTCCTGGTAGGTGACGCTGGCCAATTTCTGTAGGTTCACTCTCCCTCTGAGGCTGAAGCTCATGCCCTGCCTCCTAGGGTGTTGGGCTGACTACTGGGCAAAGGGCTGCTGAAGCTTGAAGCCTGTATGGACTTCATTCAGAAACCAGAGGCAGTTCAGTAAGAGGGAGTCTTCCTTTTCAGGCTGCTAGCAAACCAAACAGAAATACTGATTAAAGTAGAATGGTAGAGGAAAAGGTAAAAATAAGGGAACATTTATAAATTAACCAAGGATCTAAGGCAAAGATTTTGACTGAAACTTCAAGTACATTTAAAAAAAAAAGTGCTTAGGCCAGGGATTTAGCTCAGCGGTTCGGTAGCCTGCCTTGCAAGCGCAAGGACCCGAGTTCAATCCCTGGTATGCCCCCCGCCAAGTGCTTAAAAGTTGGTAAATGTGGGCTGGGGATTTAGCTCAGTGGTTCTACCACCTGCCTTGCAATCACAAGAAGCCGAGATTAACCCCTGGTAAAACACACACCCACACACACACACACACACACACACACACACATACACACACAAAAGTATTTCTTTAAAATTCTTTTTTAGGATCCTATATAGAATATATCAAAGAACAAACCCTGCATCCTGAAATTTGCTAGGGTGAAAATAACTAGGAAGTTTTGTTAATACTCCAAGTACTAGAGATTATTTAAGCATGAGATTTGAAAAACTCCACCTCCGCAGGGCAGGGGTAAAGTAAGGTGAGAATTTTAATGAATTTCTAATGTTTCAGGATATCAGTTTTATAAGAGTAATTAGGTAGTTACTGCTTCCATTCACTCATTCACCCGTACAATATTTGCAGCACGCTAACAACAGAAGAGGATATAATACATGACTTACTTCTTAACTGCTACAGCAACCCTGCAAGGAGCCCTCACAGATAAAAGGGAGAGAGAGGAAATAACTTGCCTGGGACCCCAAAACTAGAAAGCGGCCGAGGAGGCATTCTGCCCAAGCTGCCTCACTCCAGCTGTATCTGCCATGGCCAAGGGCCCCACTCTCCCCGTACTGAGTTTCTCTTTACCGGCTTATAAATAAGCCAGTATTTTCAGTTGTCTGTATTCCTTCCTGAATTCTACCAGGTTATATATGAAACAGGGTAGCTCTGGATTCAATTTTATGTAGCTAAGAAGGGGACAAGCTGGATAAAAACTCAAAAAGCCTCTGAGTGAAATGATTATTTAACTACAGTGCTTGCTGAAGTTTTCCAGTGAGGTGAGAAAGACTTAGGCGGACAATGGAAAGAAAAACATGATCTATTCCCTGGCTCTGCTGTACAAAAGCCATGTGACCTTCAGCAAGCCATTCAACCTCTGTGATCCTTAGTTTCTTCAGCTGAATTATGAATGCTGAATTCATAAGATGAACAAGGAATCTATAAATGGTATCATCTGCCTCACAGACTAGTGTGAAATCACACAAAATAAAGCATGTGATAGGCATAGGTGACAATGTACTATTCAAATAATGTTCACTTTACTTTTATCCAGAATTCAATTGATTTTTTAAAAAATGAAAGACCTAAAATAAAATCCAGAAAGGAAAAAAAAAAGGGGTGGTATATTTCAATTAAAGGCTTGTGTTCATATTTTAAGTAAAAGCCAAGAAATGGACCTCAAAATCCTCCCCTCAGATAAAACTAACACCACCATGGCAGTCTGTATCTTTTCCATTTGCTTTCCTGAGTCCTGACAGTGGTCCCATTGGGCTGGGACTGGCAAGTCTGAAGGAGAGGAGGCTGAGAAGACAGAACTCACTCAGCAGTAGTACCAAAGAGCTCTGGGAAATTATTTTATGGTTCTGAGCCAGTGGTTCTCAGTGCAGATCCCTGTGCCAGGCAATTGGATTAGAGAGAGTTTAGGCTGGGTCCTAATGCCATCTTCTGTGGGCTGGTTGCCCCACAAACCCAGCTAGCAAGAAAAAAGCTACCAACACCAGACCAACTACAGTGCCAAGTGATTTCTCACACATGGAGATTTAAATGAAACAACACAACTATGACATGCCATTTGCATAACGTCAGATTCATATCAGAGAAACCTCAAATTCAAAAGGTGAGTGTGATATAAATATAACTTCACATTTCTATAACAAATAAATTTGGAAAAATGTATTTTTGCTCTGACATAACTATTTCCTGCTTATTTATAATAAAATGAAATTAAAATACCTGCCACATTTCTACCTTCTTTTTCACTTCCTCCTTTTCTACAAACTCATTTAAGTTTGCTAGGGCTTTGGCTGCCAGTATTCTCCTTGCTTCCACACTTAGTTCAGACTGCAAACTGGTATGAGGCACTACTTCAGACAGATCTTTGCTGTGCTGTGTTTTAGGTCCAACCAGCACCTGTGCCTTGGGACTGGAGCCACAGTCCAGAGGTCTACAGTGAGTCCTGACCTCCTCCTTGACAAAGCCTGGGCTCCAGACACCATAAGGGTCACACCGACAGTAAGCCAAGTGCTGGTGAGAGGGATTTGGGTTCTTAGAGACATTTGTAAAGGGGGGTGAAACTGGTTCTCCAGGGTTGTGTGAACCTGAAACACCCACAGAGAAGGTTCGACTCCGTTGTATTTCCTTTGGAATGGCTCTCCTTTGGCAAAGGGGTGATCCATCTTCTTTGTGTCCTTCCAAGTTGCCACACTTAGACTGGTTCCAGAAAGAAAATGTATTGCGAAGCAATGTTTCCTTACTGAGATTCAGCTCTGGAGATAGTAGGGTGTAACAGTGGCTGCTGGGCTTCTGCTGCTGGAGGCTGTGGCTTAGTAAGTCCTGGGCAGGCACTGTCCATGGGGTTTCCCCTTGCTCTAGGAGAGCCTCTGCCCTCTTCAGGTCTGAGTCACTGTAGCTGAGCCGCCTTTTCAGATGAGTCAGGGGCTGAAGGCACTCAACATTCCGCCTCTTCCAAAGAGGGTCAAACTCTTGCTCACTGGAAAGAATCACCTCTTGATTCTCAAACTCTGTTGCCACTGCAGTAGAGTTAAATGAGTCAGCTATGTCACTGTGGTGCCTCAGTAACTCTTTATCCAGGTGCATTGTGACCATCTCAGAAACAGTCTTTTCTATTTCAGCAGAGAGTCCAGACCCTTCCAATCCATCCTTCATCGCCACTGGCCTATTCTCAGCCAAGTCCAGTAGCAATTTACAAACTAGGTGGATGATTTTTGGCACATGTTTCAGAAGTCGTGCCTCATAACCATGAAGCAGATGACGCTGGCGAATTAAGTATTGGGCTAAGGTGACAGCATGTGCTTTAGGATCACAGCAAGAGAAGATATTGCGGAGAGGAGTCAGAAACTGAGTAAATTCCCGTACACAGAGCAACTGTCCTCTGGTTTGAATGGAATTAGGTCGCTTTGCCCGCACAAATATAATTGCTTGGTCAGCGGTCATTCTTGTTGCAAACACTAAATAACATGCTATCAGAACACCTAAACACAGAGGAAGGGAAGACAAGAGAAAAGCTTAGGGTTTTATTTATCTTTCTTTGATGAACTAAAACTTGAATACCTGTTAAGAAAACATATAAACACAGACACATGAGAATTGTGATACTTTGAAACTTTTTGTATAGGTGTTTATTACCACACCCCCTTTTATATGAATTTCATTTGTATCTCGGGGGGGGCAGTCCCTCACCATGACTGAGTCAGCTCTGTACCCTGGAGATGGGTTAGCACAAAATTGGCAGGTGACGATTTGTGGAATAGGGGAAACATGACAGAGTGAGTTGAGGATCTGATCCATTATGGTCAACTAATTATTAAAGTAAAAGGCAAGTGATTCACAAGTTTATGAATATCTTGTTACATATAAAAACCAGAACCTCTGAAAATGGCATGCTCTCTAGTTTGAAATAGGGTACAGCCTATCTTTCTCAGTGGGACATGAAAGATCTTTCCTGCAGTTTCTAGAGAATTATCACATGCGATGTCCGGGAAGAGTGACATTTCCCCTCGGGAGGAAGGTAGGAAGTCCCTGGCAGGCACACAGGTACACAGTGGATGTAGCAGGGCTGCCAGTGATTTGGTCATACTGAACCACAGGACAAGGAAGGTGTCAACCTTAGGACTTTTATATCTTTGCTTTCAGATAAACAGTATAATGAGATTTTACTGAATTTTTAAGTAAACGCACTACTTCTTATATGGAATTATGTGTACAGAGAACTTTTCAGGCACAAACACAATCCTGATACTTCCAATGGTAGAAAGCACATGTGCTGTGCTCATGGATATCTGGGCCTTGGCACTTGTAATATAGCAAATTACTCTTCTCAAAATGAAGTTTCTTCCATTCACATTACTGCTAAAGATTTTTTAAAAATAGCAAATGCAAAATGCTTAAAAATAGAAGGTGAAAATGATGCTTGTTATCTTCATTGTTACTTTGGCTAAAAATTACATTTAAAAATACATCATGTATTAAAATGAAGTGATTTTTTTTCCCTTTAAGTAAAAAAGAAGAAAATAGTAGTCATTTAATTAGTTTTAAAATCTGCTTAAATATGATGAGTTCTCAGGTCTAAGTTATTAAAGATATTCTCATTAATATCAGTGTATGCTCTTTTATTTATGACTTTCATTTGACTCCAAATATTTCTCTTTAGAATTAGGAAGTCTTATTCCTTTTATGTTTAAGTATACTTACAAGAGAATAAAACCACTTCTAGAATTTACCTGTCCGGCCAAGCCCTGCATGACAGTGGATGGCTACTTTTCCTTCTTGTAAGGCAAATGTCATTACTTTCACCATATCTAAGATGGCAGTGAGAGAGGCTACACCATAATCCTTCCAGCCAAAGTTATAGAAATAAACTAGACAATAAAAAAGAAAGGAAAAGTGAAATTAATATACAGAAATAGATATTAGAAAAGCCAGCGGAAGAAAATGAATGAATTCATGAGAAGTATAAAGACATAAGGCATGCAGGTTTCACTGAATGCACAGAGCTAGAATAATAAGCTTTTTACATTTCCAGTATGTTTAACTATTAACATTTAATCACAAAGCACATTCTATATTAAACATTTCCTGAAGAAATAGAATGATGTAAAAGTAGACTTACAAATTAATAAAGCCAACAACCCACTTCAAAGTACTAAAGTTATTCAGATATGGTGATAAAGCATATATATTCCTGTTTTTGGAGACAAGATCTCACTAAGTTGTCCAAGGCCTCAAACTCTTGATCTTCCTAGTTCAGCCTTCCAAGTGCTAGAATTATAGGCATGTACCCCAATGCCTGGCAAGCTTATACTCTTACTGAAGCAAAGAAACACATCTAAAACTGATGAACTGTGAAAAACAGTATATACAAATTTTCTACCTAGGGGAAAATAAAAAGCTAGACACAAGGTTTTTAAAAACAAATTCCAAGATTGCAGGTCTGTCCTGTTCAGCTTGGTATGAACAACATGGGCCAAAGCTCCCAAAAACAAACATCCCAAAGCTCCTATTATTGAGAAGCCTCTGGGACTGTCACAAGAATTCCCAGCATCCCGCTGGAGATGGGGCTGACTGAAGCCAAAGCATGAGTGTATGCATCTTTTAGCCCTGGCTTCCACTTCAAAGCTGTGCGATTTTGAGCAAACCAGTAACTGTCTAAGCCTCTGTGGCTTCATGTGTATAATAGAAATAAAACAAGTGTGTCACAAACTGCTGTAAGAGTAAACTGAGGTAACAGCAATGGACACAACACAGGCATCACCTGAATGGAAGCCTTATACAGCAGGGTCTCCTCCCAAAGGCCCTCTCAGATCTTGTCCTTGCAACACCAATACCAAGGAAGAATGTTAGCAGCATTCAAGTTCAGAGTCATCCCATTTTCATTTTCTACGAACCCTGCCACTATGGAGTCGGTGTTTATTTTTATCATCTTTTCAACCCCATAGTTTAAAAGACAAAAGTTCTGAGCACTGTTCTTGAAATGTCCAGTGATGGGGAGAGAACTTACTGCCAGCCTCCATGAATGCTTCAGGAAGGTATGTGAAGCCGCTTTCTTGTTCCAGGGAGTTCCCACAGCTGGCATGTTCACCAGGACGCTGCAGGTTGATGATTGTTTTTATGCCATGACTTAAAGGAAAAAAGAGCAATTAGTCATATCAGAGGATGGAGTTAAAAAAAAACCACTTTTGACATTAATAAACATTAACTGCTCTCAAAACTTAAGCTCTTTACTAGTTTAAAAATTAAAGCACAAAGTCGGGTAGGGTAGTGCATGCCTGTAATCCCAGCACTTGGGAGGCTGAGGCAGGAGGATCGCTGTGAGTTTGAGACCAGCCTGGGCTACATAGTGAGTCCAGGTCAGTCTCAACTATGTAGTGAGACCGTGTCTCAAAAAACAAAACAAAACAAAAAACTAAAAATTAAAGAACATTTTCCATGTAGGAGGCACAAGCAATGAAAGAAAAGAACAAAACAGTTTTCTCCCCACAGTGTGTGAGCCACACATCTACCTGAGGAACTGCTCAATGATATGGTACTTCTGGAGGAGCTCCGAGGATGGGCGAGCCATGGCCAGGATATTGTCAGTAACCCTGCAGATATGGGGAGGAACTGGTGAGAAGCATGGAAACCACATCATTTTATTTCAAAGGACTAAGAAATGATTTTTTTTCTGTGATTTCAACAAACCTGTAAGAATATTCTTATACAAATCTGGCTTCAATTTTGTATCATGATCAGAGCTTTAAGAAATCTAGTTTCTTAAATTTCTGAAAAAAACTGCAGAACACAATGTATTTATGAAGTCTGACAAAATGTCTCCAAAAATTCTCAAGAGATTCTTTCTAGCAGACACAATGGGAAACCTCAGCTAATAGCAAAGTCATCTACAGTATCTTGATTAGTTATCCAGTAGTTAGTGACTAAACAAGAAGGGCCACCATAAAGGCACTCTGGTTACTCAACAGAAGTCACCAGATGCATTAAATGGGGATAATAATGCCTGACTCAGAGTTGGTGTGAGAATTCAGTACAATATGGATATAAAATCTAGCACAAATTCTGTCCTGGGGTTTAGAATAAGTATTGAATTATCATCATTTAGCAAAAAATATGGCTGTAGAGTCAGTAAGGCCTGGCTTCAAATGTTGGCTTTTTTACTTTCTAGCTATGAAGCAAATTAATTAACCTCTCTGGAACATCAATAAAGTGGAATTAACAACTCAAGGATTTTATGAAGATGTGAGATAATTTGAAGCATCTAGAAAAATGCCTGCCCTAAAGCCAAACAGATGTTTATGAACAAACAACACAGGCCTAGTAAAGTGCTGTCACTCATCAGGCCTCTGGTTTTACTCTGTTCTGACCCAACTTCTCACCACTGGCCAAGCAGTCTATTGAAAGCTGTGGATCACATGAATCTCACAGGAGTAAGCAGGGCTGGGTCCAAAAGACACCGCTGTAACAATGTGTAAAATTTAACATGGGCCCAAAAGGTCTGGGATACCCCAAATGTACCAGTACTTAGCATAAGATCAGGGGAGGTGTAATGTGAAAACAGTGAAGTACATGATTTAGTCAACAACAAAGCAAAATTAGTATAACCTTAAGCTACATTATTAGAAATTTACTCATCTGACTGTGCCTCAGGAACAACATCTGCTTCTCTATACCATTACAGTGACAACAATAGGTCTGAACATGAACCATGGAGAACAAAAAAGACAGTAGACTCCAAAATGTGATACTCTAGACATACCCAGCAAATCCACTATGAAAAAGTAGGTCAGAAGTCAGATAAGTAGATTGACAGTTATCTAATTAAAAAATGGGTTCTTGCTATATAAAGTAATTCATGATGAATTCTTTAAACAGTGAATTCCTCTAAGTGTGTTTTGAATGTGATGTATCAGAATTTTTCAGATGTCACATATCAAAAATAGTTTGTTACTAATGAAAGGCAGTATAATTCAAGAACAATTTTAATTACACTTATACACCAGAAACAATGCGAGCATCTGAGGTTGTCTACTAAGCTGACAACCTGTGCCACTTCTATCAAGGCAGACGGAACAATATTTACATGAAAATATATCCTCCTGCACAGAATATAAGAACAACATAACAGCAAGACTAATGGGTACCTGTAAGAAATTGAAGAACTATATATGTACCCTGTCATTTTCTCAGTTAGAGCTGAGCATCTTCATTATTTCTAGCAATTTCTCAAATCTAAGAGCAATCTATTACCCATGTCTCTTAAAAGCAAACCTCTTATGTTTTTTGGCTTAATTATTTTCATTTTATAGATGGGAGACTGGGGTTGAGCAGGCCAAAATCCCACAGATGGTCTAGGTAAAGCCAGGGGTGATGGTGAGGTCCCCTCACTTCAAAGCCCCCGGGAGCCCCTTCCACATCCCCTGTCTGCCATTTACATGCATCCCATGCATCCCATGCATCCTGCCTGCTTTATCCTGCAGAGCTGGGGAAAACCAACAGGACTCCTCACCAAGATGAGTAAACCCCTTTAATGGCTTGCTCCTGCTCGCTCCAGCGGGTTGGGTTCTCGTACTTGCACGCTCTACCACCACACGCCATGGAACATGCCATGTGTCCAGGGATGACATGCCGTAAACGTTCTCCCACTTTTGTGTACTTTGGTGTTGGGCGTCCAGAATTTCCTGGAATGCAGAAGAAAAGAAGAGTCAAAAACCCCACTCTCCAATTAGAATGGTTGTACGGGAAATAGCTTCCATTTTATTTCAAGATTTTAAGTGATGAGCCAGTGCTAAATGCCTTTCATCTAATATTTAAAATGCTTTCACATACAATAATCCCCACACATAATATTGGTAATGAAGAGGAGATTATAAAAGCAAATCTTTTACAGGAGGTCAAGTTTTGTTCCAAAACTACATTTTTAAATGAAAGACAAAACCAAACATCCAAAATCTCCTTTTACGTATCTATTCAAATTCTGAGCATGATGGTAAAAAGTGTAACAGAATTGTCAATATTTAAAAAGGAATAAACACAACACAGCCTATTCATATTCCTTAAATCTAGTTACAAAGGTGCGGCAATCTGTAAGAAGAAAGACAGCTTTACTTTTTCTCTCCGGAAAAGTTGGATTCCCCTCTGGGCGGCTGACCGAGGACACCGCCACCATCACCTGAAGAGAGGATGAGGACAGCAGCTTTGTGGCAGAGCCGGAGCCACGCCGAGCCTGCTGCAGCCTCACAACCGGGTCCGAAGTGGAATGCCGGCGACCCTGCAGAAAGGAGCTGAGGAAATGCATGGCTGAGGGTCTTCGGGACACGTCCTGCACTTGCATGGTGCTGGCTCCAGGGAGGCAAGAGGTGGAGGCAGGGAGAAGTCAGTCCTGCCTTGCTCAGTGAGCAAGTACACTGAGACACAGGCATCGTTCTGCATGATCTAAGAGCTATTCAAGATAGGCTGACTCGTTTCCATAGTGACCAACAAAGAAACTACTGACTCCCACTTAGATCTGAACAGCAAAAATCCTACATGAATGGATTGTGTTTTGGACAAATTGTTCAACTATAAAGAAGGATAATATGCCTTTTAAAGAGATTCTTCCTAAACCTAGATTACTTCATTTTATATCTCAAATGTACTTAAAAGATCTGACTAGTCAAAGAATTACTTTCAAAGTATTGTAATAAATTTAGAAAAATGTCTTTATGAGGCAACTACTGCCCTTTACACATATTAAGATGCCTACAATTTGTTACTCCTTTCTTTGGATATGTTTTTGTGGGGGAGCCTTTCTGTTCTTCTTTTAAACAGGGTAGATAAAAAGTTAATTGTAATAATGAGGGATATATTGGATACCTTACAACACTACTATTAAAACATCATTCAAATTTCAGAACCAAACACCTCTCACATTTTCTTAGAATTACTGAAGAGATCGCTTCTCGGCCTTTTGGCTAAGATCAAGTGTAGAATTACTGAAGAAACACTTGGATAAAATAAAGACATTTTTAGAGCAGATATACTATTATTATTATTATTATTTTGTGTTTTTTTGGTACTGGGGATCAAACTCTGGACTGTGTTTGTGAGGCAGGTGGCAGAACCACTGAGCTAAATCCCCAGCCCAAGAGCAGATATATTATTAGAAAACACTTCATTTTGTTATTTTTACTTTCCAATATAAAGACCTAATTCTTAGTAATGCCTCTGTTGGATAATAACTTTACTTATGAGTAACGGAGCAGTCATCCCTCTCAGGAACTCAATTCTTTGCCTTTTGTTGCAATAGAAGAGAAATACTTCAATGTCTTGTTGGAGGCATAGGATGAAAATTCACTAGAGTATCACATTTTTTAAGGAGCTGGATGAGGGGGAGGTAGCACTTGAGGAGAAAGGATATAAAGAAAAAAAAATCAACAACCGCCAAAATGTTCATTGTCCGCCTCCTCCTGTGTTAATGTCAAGCCGCACCCGCGGCTCACTTATACTCTTTCTCTTGTACTCTCTGCACAAATGGTACTCCAGTTGTGCAGAAAGGAAACAAAACTCCTGCCACAGATAAGGCTCTTTTTTGCTTTAACAATTACTAATGCTGCAAGTAAGCTCCTTTTAAAATGCCACCCCCATTTCCTCAACAATATGTACTTTTGTCAAGTAAGACAGACACAGAAGCCCAGTGTGATACCCAAATTCTTATGCCACATGTAGTATCACACTCTTGCTCTTTAGCACACAGCACAGCTTTCCTGCCAGAGAAATGTCATAAAGAATATTCAAGGCGAGGCCAACACGTAAACAGCAGTGCCACCAGAGGTCTGTATGATAGGAAGGCAGAGGACACAGGTGAGGAAAGAAGGCAGCATGTATAGCAGAAGGCCCTAGATGCTCCTCAGGAGTTGTGTGTGCTGCCTGGGACACAGAGGTCTGTGTGGGTTTCAGAGTGGGCAGCACTTGGAGAGGCCTGGAATAACAAGGATAAGCTGACAGGGACAGAGGCTCTGGGGATGCAGGATACTTTTTGTGATGCTGGGACTCCAGCTCAAGTGATTGGTGAGGTCTTGCAGCAGGTTCACACAGGACCCAAGCTAAGAAGGTGGGAACAAGCAGCAAGCTCCACTGGAAACGAAGATGGTTAAGGCTACGTAAGGAGGATAACTGGCATTGAAGGATATCTGCAGAGGAAAGTCACAGGGATTTTGTCTCCTACTGTACTAAAAATAAAAATAATCTGGTGAGGGGTAGTACTCACTTGGATCAAGGTAAGGAAGGGATGGTGAGATGTGTCATTACAAGAATCATTTCTCCTGTGAAATCTTGGGGATTAAGTTGATTAAAGTTACTATACAGGCAGTGACCCTGTGTTGGGGCATAATGAAGTTCAATTTGATGCAAACAGGAGTCAGTCACCCAGGCAAAAGCAGCCCCACAGCACGCCTGCTCAGCATGCTAACAGTGGGGTGCTAGGCATGCACCCTACATCTATCTGGCAGATGAAATGAAACTCTGTTCACCTCTGGGCACGACAGACAGCCACATAAGCCTTCATTTCCTCTGTTGTTGGAAGGGCTGCTCCACAACTATTCCTTAGTTAACTACTGAATTCACAGCACAACCCATTTTTTTAAAAAATCAGCTTTATTTATGCCACAGAAAGCTTTATAGAGGGGGAGGCCTACTTTCAGTATCTGCCCTATCCATTAGCCTGGTTTCCCTTTCCCAAATTGCTCATGTACTTATGCCTTTTCTTCATATTTACAACCATATTGTATACACATTTTTCTTTTTTTCCCAATCAGTACAAGAATGCTTTTCCATTTTGCTTTTGTCTTTTCATAATTTTTATTAATGACTAGGGCACATTATGTTGATGCATAACAATTTACATAATTATTCCTTATTTGTTGGACAATGAAGCTATTATCAGTAATTTTTGTTAAAAAAACATATTCAACTCTTTAAAGCTAGAACCTCTTTATTTCTACATTCTTCCTTCAGTCAATTTCTGAAGATGGTATGGCTAGTGAGCAAAATTAACTTTCAAAACCTTTATTTTTATTTAGTTGAGTCTTTATATGTTTTAAAAACCAAGTACGAAAGTTTTTGCACTAACCTCCTTTGCCCCCATAAATCTCATCATCTCTATCACTTCTTGCCTTCTAAGCACATTTTTATTCATAGCATACTGCGAAAAAACAATCATGCAAACAACTTTAAAGGCATTTTTAGAATAAAAGATTTTGTATTTGTACCCAAATGGTCTTTTATCTTCTCTTCAAAGTATTTTTTAATTTTGTGGGTCAAATTTCTTTTGCACATCTGTAAGTAAGTGTAAATAGGAAGAAATTGTTCAAAAGGAAAGAGGAACTAGGGAGGAAGGGGAAAGGAAGGAAGGAAAGGAAAGAAAAAAAGGATAAAATGGAAACAAAGCTTTGTAAATGAGGGGAAGAGGGGCTGAAGGGAGGGAAGGGGACTGGGAAGAAAGAATCAAGATATATCATGCAAGGTACAAATTCCTATGATGAATGTGATCACTGTGTATATCTAAATTATACCAATAAAATTAATTTAAAAATTTATTAAAAATTTAAATTGGGATGAACTACTAATTGCTGTGATAAACTATACAGACTCTTAAACATAGCATCTTTATTGCTATTGGAAATTGTCAGTAAAAAAACCAGAAGACCCATTTTTTAGATAAACACAACTTCCTTATGTTTTATATAACATGGAAATATTTTAGTGTGAGAATAACTTTATGAAGAGCCATGTTTTCCACAGATGCCAGGTAAATAAACTTTTTGTTGTTTTTTATTTTATATTTTAAATTTTTGGGTTGTTTTGTTGTGAGCAGATTTTAGTTTTCTTTCCTTTTTATTGTTTAGTAAAGAGGTTTCTTATGGAGGCCGCAGAAAGTCTTTAGAATGTTGCTACCATAAACCAATTCATCTTCCTCTACAGTTAAAATTTATTTGCATGTCACAAAAAGCAACACTACCATTGTTTTCTCACTTACCTATTAACACTTAATCTATTTTTCCCTCTTCTGACAATGTTTTTCTAAGTAAGCACTTAAGAAAAAAATGTTTTGTTTTCTTCATTTCATGACTAAAATTAGAGGGGACCATGTCTCAGTTCCTGTCTTAACTGTTCTCCCCTCTTCTAAATATAAAGAAAAACCACCACCACCACCACCACCACCAAGCTCTGACAGAGGAGGAAGATACTACAGAAGGAGTCCACGTGATTAGTCCTGTATTTCCCAGGCTACTGAAATTGTCATAAGAAGCGTGAAGATGATGGGTGCAATGCTAGACCACACCACTTTTGTGGCCGGGGCCATGGCCATTTGTAGTCAGACAATCTGATACAATTTTAGAATAATATTTAAGGAAACAAATGAGATATTGGTCAATGCAGATACAAAATTATCCACACTTGTGATAACCACAGAAATGGTAAACCCATTAAATGGTCCACTCAGTGAGTATTCAGCCTTTTCCTCTTTAATTTCTGAAAGTGTGAAGTGCAAACTGATTGTCCTCAGCGGATCTCAAATGCCACGCATTGGCAATTTCCTTCCACTCTCAACATTTCAGTAAGGGCTATTCCTTTCTATGCAAGCAAATTCACGCATCTATCGAAGCAACTGGAGAGAGGGATTAAGGTCCATCTATTTATA